TGTATTTTTTTCCAAAAATACTTTAAAAAATCAAAAATGTTATTGACGAAAAAAATATACGTTTTTGGAAAATAAATATCGAATAAAACATTTTTTGGAAAGTAAATAACTAATGGTCCTAGATTTAGGGGATTTAAACTACTTTTGGTAGAATAGACTTTCTATCATTTGGTAGAAGATAGAGAAAGAAGTGGATAGAAGGGGTAGAATATGCATTATGCGTGTCGTAGAAGACAAAGTCATTGGTAGAAATAGCATTCTGCAACTGGTAGAACTGAAGCAAAATGGTGGAATGTGCAATCTGCGATAGGTAGAACTTGTGTAGTTAGTAGAATACTTTCTTCTACCACTCGTAGAATGATACAAATTCGCAGAATACCTAATCTTCTAGTAGATTCGACCATGGTAGAAAAAAAATATATAATTTTCTGTCATAGTTTTTTTTGATAAAAAAATATAAGCATGCATCTATATGCCTTGTACATTACTATTTTCTATTTTCATGATTTTATAAAATTATAAAAACTATTTTTTTATATTTTTCAATATTAATCAAAGGGTAATATATGAAAAAATTGGTAAAAAAAAGACAAATGTTATTTTGCAAAACACTAATTCAATGTGAGTCAATTTAGCAAAATTCCCAAAAAATATAGGGTAAAATATTTAGTAAGAATGTGTAAAAATATGTGACGCTATAAACTCCGGCTCCTAGAGTCCCGAAACGATTCTACTCTTGAACGAATCGCTTTTTGCATTAATTGGCATTTTTCATGTGTCTTAACGTAATTGCATAAAGCTTTTGCCATGTGTATATATGTTTGATAATGAATTACTATATGTTGATGAATTCATTGATTTGTTTCCTAACGTAATTGCATAGTTTTGCATCTAAGATTATACGTTATTTGTCATAGTCGCCTCACAAATTCATTACAAAGAACAAATATAGAAAGTCAAAGATCTCCATATATCATCATCATTTATTGACATAAATATTTCCAATATTCAGTAATCCAATTTGGATAGAAAAATATTTCGTTTCTTCACTACCAAAATTAAACCTCCCTAATTCACTTTTGTCTATAGAGGCTCCTCAAGAACAATAACAAAGCGTCTTCGATCTATATCAATGGAATCATCTTCCAATCACACGGTACATAATCATATTAGATTGTAAGATTAGTGTATACCATTGTATATCCTTATGTATAATATTGTATATATACATCTTATGTGTTGAATTGTTTGTATAGGCATGTCTCTTGAAGATAGAATCTCCTACGAAATCATTGGAAAAATTGCTCAAGACCATTGATGGTTTCATAATCTATTACTTTTTCTCGTTTCATTGTGTCATTTACTTGATTTTCACTTGTTTTATTAACTTTTTTTTTCCTATATATTAACAGATGTAAATTTCACAATCGACAAGCGAAGTAAAACGGTATACATATATGGGAAAATCGATTCACAAATAATACTCGAAAAGATTACAAAAGCAGGCAAGAAAGCTGAAATCATATGGACCGATAACGGATGCCAAAAACCGCCCGAAAATCGAAAAGACCATTCGATGCAACAAGGTTACTCGTCAGGGTCCATGAATGCTCCTAATGGTTTCTCGAATTATCATCAACAACAATGCTATTATCCTCCACCAAATTGGATGTATCAACAATTTCAACCTTACCCTCATGCTTTTGCTCTTCCACCTCCATATGTACGTCAGTTTCATCCGCAGCCGCCTCCGCCAAAACCGTACGAATACCACGATAGTAAGCCGGCGGCTAAGAGTTTTCCGCCGACCCCAGCTCCGCCTAAGAACTTTACAATGGGAGATTTACAACCAGGATGCAAGATCATGTGAAGTTTTACTTAATTTAGAGGGTAATTCTTTTCTTCTTCTTTTTGCGTTTGTGCATACATTAATCAGCGTTTGCTTTTGAAAGATCTTGCGGTTGATACTCTAATTATTTAGGGTTGGGGAAAGTGGAAACGGTAGTTTGAGATGAGAGGACTTTGAGAAAACGGCACATGTAATGAAATTTTGAGAAAGAAAATTTTAATCCCACTTTTAGTCCCTTTGAAATTACTCGAGACAGGAAAAGTAAATGATAGGACTAGAACTAGGAATTTTTGGATTAAAAACATGTTCGAAACATGTTCTGAGAAATGGAACTAGACTAGTTTTGGGATCGAGAGATAGTAAAATGGGTAAAAGTGAACATGTAAAGGCTGATTTGTCCAATTAAATTTTTTTTTTCATTCGATCGTTCAGAGAACGCAAAAGTCTCTGAAACCTATTGGTTTTGAGGTAATTTTTAATCGTAGCGGTAATGAATGCGTTCCTGTTGTTATCAGTAACCAATAATACGTTAAAAATTAACAATACCAAAAACGATACTACAACTTTTTATGTATTACTAATTTTTTCATATCGCTTCTAACTAATTTATCATCGTTATGCTAACAAATTCTTACGGCTTTATGTCACCAATTGACACATTCAATTTTTTTGTTACCACTAATCTCTCTCCCGTATCCTTAATTTTAGCTTACTTTTATGTTATTTCTGCAATTGGCCCATATATTAAAGGTTGGAGACACGTTATCAATTAATTCATTCTTTGAATCACAAGAAGAATCGTAATTCAAAGTGGTTAATGTTCTTGAAAGTTACTTTATGTATCAGTTGACCAATTAAGCTTTAGCGATTACGTGGAAGTCATTATTATTTTTATTTTTTTAAAAAGAGATATTCTAAGTTATTTAGTTCACATATTTTGTTCTCAAATTCATAACTCATGTAAACTCAAAAGAACGAGTTGTTTAAATGGTTTTTTTTTTCCTCATATATCTCGTATTGAAAATTTTTTTAAGTTATGCAGATTTAACAAAAGAAAAATCATAACTGGTCGAGAGATATAACGTTGCTTACTTGCGTGCTTGTGTTAAGTGAAAGTCATCACTATTGAGTTTAGAAACAAAAACAAAATCTCAAACAAATTGAAGTTAGGAAAAGCACCCAAAAAAAAAGAAACACTCGAAAACATTAACTAGAGAAGAAAATTCATTGAAGACGACTTGAAGCTTAAGCTGGTACATTGAGTCAGAGAGTCACTTTAATCACGCCCAACCAAACATCTTTTCTTTGTGCTTCTCTGTTTTAAACCAGACCCAATGTGATTTGTCTCCTTTGCGTTGTTTCCTAGTGTT